CGCAGCCAGCACAGCATTTCCCACAAAAAAACTAGCTTATCTGTTCAACCAATGACTAGCCGGCTGCACTCAGTTCACGCCCCATCACACACAATCAATTACCAGTACTCCCAAAACTTGTAAAAAGAGCAAAGTGCAAAGTTATCTCTTCGGGACAAACCTTTGCTATCATGAACGAAGCAACACTGTATCCCGTTCCTGTCCATACTTCCTCGCTCTGCATACTCGAATAATCAACCTTCCCATTTTCGCTAAATTCTTCCATACAATGAGAACAAAAGGCTAAACACCTTCACAATCAAATAATTTTACTTCATGCGTCTCACGTTTGGTCTTACGTTTGGTTGCATTCATACTTTGCGAGTCGGCTCTTATGGGTAGGAGAACCAGCGTTGTGAGCCACAGCGTTACCTACTCTCGTGTCAGGTATCAGGCAAAAAATCGCTAGCGTTCTAGGAGAATCAGCGCTTCGAGGTGATTGGTGTTTTGGGCGCCAATCAATGCTTCACTATCCTTTTGGCGCAAAACGGTCGACCGTCAAAACGCTAGATCTCCAAAACGTCAAGACGCAAAGTATGAACGCAACCTAAGGTGAGCTAAGGCAGTTGACGAGGCAGGGAGAACATTTATGGCAACGCCTTTGTCTTTCCTTCGCAACCTCCCAAAACTCCCTTCTCTCAACTTTAAATTAGAAAACAGGCAAATGGGTAGAGATGGCTGATACTCTCATGCGGCCTTCTCATCTACCTAAGCACTTAAACAGGCACAACATCAGTGCTTTTGGAGAAAGTTGACTTCAAATTGCTTGCACGAAAGAAACCAAAACGTACAACATTCCGTTCACAGGGCCCATAGTTCCCGATGCAAACATCTTGACGTTGTGTGAGTAGATGGTCTCCAAAGTGGACATGATCTAGAATGAAAGATTTAGGTACGCTGGTTCAATCTCAGCAGATTATACCATTTTTGTTTCACGCGGCTTTACAAAGCAATTTGAACATATTCTTCACCCTAGACAGCTAATGAACCATATCGCACTCAAAGAACTCTAAGCCCCGCCTCTCCAGCAACGCCCACTTTCGCGTCTTTTCGCAAAATATACATCTCTTCTGAACGATTCGTCTTTAGGCCGCAAGAATAACGGATAGCCCGACTACGGTGAAAAGCGCCGTCCAACTGGAAGAAGTCTCGACCACTTTTGAAAGTCGAACAAAATAACAGTTTGCAATTTCAGTGTCTTTACTCGATATAAACCTTATATAGTTTTCCGCTCAAGTGATGACCGAGATCCTAATCTTCGACGGCGCTACTCATAGTGGGCGGCGCTACCTGTTGCAGTCTAAAAAAGTGAGAAACGTGATAGAAAACAAAAAATTTCGCAGGAAAACGCAAGGCCATTGCTTAGGGGACGGAACTAGGAGTGCCAGGTGTATAATTGAGTTCCGATCTGAGTTGTCGATGTGTGAAGCGTGGGTGTGAGAACAATGACACTGAAAGTTATGGAAATTCGTGATTTGCAATAATTCCTTGAAAAGTAGTGATTAGTTTCCCAATCCTTTTCATTTATTATATACATACGAAGGAGCAGGTCACACAAGGCGAAGTTGTGGAAGAAAATCCAAAAAGTTAGGGCCACGAAATGTGGGAGTGGTTGTCGAGCTGGCAGTAGTACCCTGCGGTATGTTTAAAAAACTGAATCCATTTTGAAAAATCCTGTGTTTTGAATCGTGAAACCAAAACGAAAATTGTTCAAACGATTTACTTGCCAGAAGTTCTGCAAGGTAATGTTACAAACCTGAGGTTCAGAAATGAGATCTTCACCATTCATTAGCGTTTGGAACCATTGGCCACATAATTGATCTGCCATTATAACGCTTTGATCGGAGGATGATTCGTCAAAATTGAAGTATCTTAACACGGATCTATCAGAAAAAGCATTGAACGCAATTAACTTGAAACCTTACTTTCCGTTCCAAAGTTTCTTGACGAAAACAGTTTTTGCTCTATCCAGCATATCCTCAAACTGTTGTTCAGCGTCTTTGTGGCCGAGTTTCTTCGCCATCGACGAAATGGAGCTCAGCGCTGCCAACCAAAGGGAACCACAGTAGGCGCTGAATTGGTTATGGGTATCATATTGTTCTCAACTACAGTTATTAGCACTTGCATTTGGGCGGCTTGACATCTACACTCGTGAACGTGCAGCCAAAGTTGCCGGCCAAAAATTTTGATTAGAGATCGGAGCCATGAAGTATCACATTTTGTGAAAATCCCACTAACAATTAGGTGAGCAATAGCTAATGCAAACGTTGCCTGGAAGGCAGCGTCCTTACATGGCGACGACGCTCGTCGAGACGCGTCGATGCGCCACAGTGGCAGCAGCCAATAACATAGACGCAAAGGCAGCCGCAGAATCGCTCCCAGAACGCTAGATGTTGAGAGAGTATAGAAGTATAGAAAGGTACTACATTGTGTGAAGGCAGCGCCTACTCTCTTGTTATTCCATGCTCTGCCGTTCGAGTCTACAGTAAGCGCATCGACGTGCGCCATCGCGAAGTCTGGACGTTTCCAAAAGTTCGGCGGGCGAAAAAGGTTGTTTCCAGTCATGGGCACGTTCGTAGAAACGAATCGCAGCCCGTTCACTGAGTTCAAAGGCTGTCTAGGAGAAAAGAAACATAGTTTGCTTTATTCTAGACCTTGTGCCACTCATGGTCCACGCGTCATAGGTTTGATCAGCTGTTCCAGAGTTCTCGATCATTCCATCGCCGTCCTCGTCCCAATCCGCTAAAGCATTACGAACAATTATTTCACTCTTCGTGTAGAAGTATTGGAGAATTTCTTCCGCCTGAAATAGTTGAAAATCCCATCAGCACTGAAAAGGGGGAAGCTGTAAGAAGAAAGACTCGAACACACACATCCTTAGCCTCGAAGAACTTCTCCACTATCAGCTTATAGTCTCGCCAGCAAGAAAGTACGAACTTGAGATTGAGATCTCTCCATTCTCCTGTGTCGTGTAGAGCGTAAGAGTTTATTCTGACCCATGGTTCATCATCTATAACAAACAGGTTATCACCTCCACCAAAGCAAAATAACGATGCGCTTCTATTGCGAAGAGAGTTTATTGCGGTCCGAGAAGACGATCCCAATCAGACGTTACAGTGATCTATCCACGTCTGGAACTAGAATCTTTCACAGGCATTGCGCGCAGTCTGCCATCTTAATGAATCGGTAAAAGAAGCGCATCCGCAAAAATCTCATAAGCATCTATCGGGAGAATCGGCGATCGCGCTCTGTTCATTAATTTTCCTTTTCGACAACGCCCCTACCGATAATTATATGACCGTTTTGTGTTCGCGCCGAATTCGTCTGCTCAGTTCGCCGACCCTCCCTGTCGATAGGTACAAAAACTGCTCCGCAAATGCTCCTATAATTCGCCAAGGTCGCAAACTGAAAACACGTGATTTCTTAGGTACCAGCATGAGGCGGAATGTTGATGCAAATGGTCTGCTCAATCTAGCCCACTGTCTTAATTTCATGTCCCCAAGATCGAGCGGGCGTGGCTGCGTACTTCATTCAGAACTCGCGACAGCTGCGCTTTTGATGGGATATTGTCCTTTTGGGACAACAGTAGTCGCCTTCGACGCACGAACATGACGGAAAGGATGACAGTTGATACGAACGAAAACATCATCAGTCTTGTTCGCTGTGGACGCTGGGGCGTGTCAGGCTGTGTTCATACTTTGCAGCGGCGTACATCGGCTTACACCAGCTCCAGCGACCAGGAAAGAATAGGGACCGATCTAGTGTACGCCAGCGGCAGCAACTTTTTGGACAGTTTTGCTCAAGTTCAAATTGCCCGCAAAAACGCT